AAATGAACTTTTTTAAGTTCAGTAATTGTGTTAAATTTACTAAAATTCTAGTTGAGATAACTATAATAGAATTCTGATTATAATATAATTATTCTAATAAAAATAAGAATTCTAGTAAATTTTATTGGAAATATTGTATCAACTAGAATTCCAGTTACTTCAACCAGAATTTTAATAAAAACCAGAAAATTCTGATTCGTCCAGAAATTTCAATCAGAAATTTTTTTCAATGTGTGACAAATTTTAGTTTATAACATATACGGAAAAAACAATCATAGTTAAATTAATAAAATGTATTTAGTTAAGCAAATTTTGATGGAAGTAAACAGAATGTCTGATTATTACAATTAAATATATACGTAATATCAAAACATTTAGATATGTAATATCGATTAGTTTTATTAGTACGTAGAAATAAATCAAAGTATCTCTGGTTATTACGAGAGAAAAAGAGAACATACCGTTAGATTACTGACAAGTATGATTAAAGTACTTTAGTAGAACTAAATAGAATTTCTGGTTATCATAATTAAATAATGATATTTCAATCAAAAGTTTTGTTATTTTCATTGGATTTCATCAAATGTAATATATGCAATTTTCTCTAAACTATTTTAACCAAAATTACAAATCGTTCGTATTTTATCAAACGATCTGACTATTATATACGTATTTTAGATTAATTCAACCAATTTTCTGCTGTATAATTCTTCGACTTTAACTACAACAAAAAATTAATAAATTTTCTTTTTCTATCTCATTTTCTCTGTGCAAATATATTAAGTTCTATCGAAAGAGGAGAGGAATACGATTGTGAATATTTCTCGATAAAAAAAATAGAAAAGTTAATCTGTCTCTGGCAGATTTTCACTTAATTGCAGTCGCTACCATCAAACTCGACAATTCTAATTAGCGACGTTGTTTCCAATAATGTGCGAATGCTTCCGAAAGTACGTGCGGGCGATGGTAGAAACGGTCAAGTGACTCCGCTAAATATAACGAATGAACGGGCTTATCGGGATTCGCCTTTAATGAGTATCGATCGGTCGATATTCGCAGAGGCGCTTCTTTCCGAGAAAGCATTCCGATCCAGGGAAATTATAGAGATGAGAATACCACGAAGATAATAAAGAGCCGTGCCGCCCAGTTTTTTCCTTCTTTCGCGCACAACGTTTATTGGCATTTATAAAGAAAATTAATGAATTTGTTTTGACGTTGATCAGCGATTCCATTTCAAAGAACCCACGCGCCTATAGCTTCATTTAACGTTCATTATAATTGCATTATTTTCACAATCGACGTAACTAGTGCACCGTAAAACGATATTCGCTAATCAACTGAGATCGATTTCCCTTTCAAAAAGCTGTTAACGATTTTATATTTTATCCGGGTCAGAACAAAAGTTCGTAACTTCATTTGTATCATGTCAACGTTTTAAAAAAAAAATTGACAATTGTACCATTCGATAAAGTGAAGTTTCAGCTTTTGGACTCTGTTTTTTAATTGCGGTATACGCGCGTGATGATTTTTAACGTAGTTATGAACAATCAAAGTCAAAGTGCTCCTTTTATTTAATCAGCGATAACTCAGTGACAGAAAATCTTAGGAACATTTTTAAAAAATGAAAAGCTTTTTCACAAGAAGTCGAAAATTTTTTAAAATTTATTTTGAACACAAGTGAAAAACCACACAAAATAAGAAGAAAAATTTTTGTCTAGCTCGTAGTTTTCTATATGTCAAAATTACTAAACTCACAGAAATGAAAAAACATAGTGACCTTTCGAAAGTAGAGATTTTAAACTTTAGGACTCTTTTTTTAAATTTAAATTTTGTTTATTTTTAACGAAATTATAGCTGCTTGAATTTTGAAGTTCGTAACTCTACGAACTTCCTATAACTTAATATAATCTAAAGAAAAAAGTTCATAAATTAATTTATATTTTAACTTTTTTTTCACGATTTATTTTTAATTATATTTACGTTTTGAATAAAAACAAAAACATATTTTTAATCATTATTTATAACATTTTAATCGGATGATTATATGGCTTAACAAGACTAAAAACTATGGCTTAACAAGACTGTGAGTTATGTATCACGTAGATTCGCGGCATTTTTGCTACATTTTCGTGATTTTTTCATACCTCCTGAAATATTTTATACTCTTATACGATAAAAAGTATAAAAAGAAAAATTTTAAAAATTTGATAAATTTTTTTCTGAGGAATAAAAAATTCCGCACATTAATCCTTTCTCTTCTAAAGGGACATACACAACCCAAACTATGTTCATAAAATTTTGACGAAGAAACAACACATTTAAATAGAATGGAGTTGTACTTTAAGAATTACTTCATAATCTTTCTAGAGTCTCAATTATTTGTCTACGTTAATTATTTTCTCTGTATAATTATTTTTCTCGCGATGTAGAAGAGAAAATTGATCGCGAGCGAACTTAACGATTGAAGTCTTAAATCATTTCGATTACGGGTTCAAGTATGTATACCATACAGGGTATCCCGTGATTAAGTAGTTTCAGCATGCGATCAGTCAATCAGCGTTGCTAAATATTATCTATACGTGCAAGAACTCTTGCGCGTAACGCTCCTTATATCTAATGAATATTGATTCCGACGAGACCCATTTCGGAGCCAGAAGGAGGCGGCGGCAATGGCTGTGCATCGCTGCTAGAGAGGAGAAATTTCGATCCCTGGTGACCGCGTAATGGGTCAGACTCATCGTCTATCGCGTAAGTAAGATAAATGATCCCCTAATGCCCCCGCCGCGGTCCTGGAGCGCGTAACGTGCAGATGAGCCGATATAAAGCCCGCGACTTCGGCTCAAATTCTACCGCTGGGACGCGATCCGTTTTCGGCGTTAGATCGAAAGGGCACGAAAGAGAGCATGGAACACATTACGAGGTAGACGCGGAGACGGATGAAAACTGAGTCGGATTTGCATTCGGCATTATTATATTTTTCATGCAACTTAGAAGAAAAAGCTACTTGAGCAGAAATTATACGATTTTTTTTTTTTTTTAAGAAGCTTATATATCCCCTTCGATCTTTCTTCCTCTCTTTCTTCTCTCTTTTACAAATAAAAATAAATATAAATAACAAAAAGATTCAGTAAAAAATTAAAAATTAAAAATTAAAAATTATATTATAGAATATTGATTAAAAATGTATAACAGTTCCTGCAAAGAAAATTAAATTTGGAAGCATATTTAATATTTACACTTCAAATAAACTATTAGGTGTTGGAATTAATTCGTAGCGTTTTTAATGAAAGAATGTTATTTATTTCACATGAGCATTAAAAAATACATTAATGAAAGTACTTCCCATCACTTGTAAAACGCTACGAATTAATTCCAACACCTAATATATACATACGAAAGTTGTGTGAATAAGATTATATTTTTGTTTAATGACACATTTTTATATTTTATTCATTGTTATTTTTATTGATAAAAATGAAAATTTTAAAAATGATTAACAAGTTTACATTTTTCTTTTATAAATATTTTATAAATACTTTAAATATCCAAAATATTTTATGCAATGTGTCATTGCGACTTATTGATTAGTTACGGAGATATAGAACAAATACTTTGTTTATTTACTGGACAACTAGTTCATGTAACTTTATGTAAATTATCTTGAATGCATAATGTATTTATATTAAAAAATTGAGAATTTTATCATTTATTTTATAATATTAGGTGTTGGAATTAATTCGTAGCGTTTTTTAATGAAAGAATGTTATTTATTTCACATGAGCATTAAAAAATACATTAATGAAAGTACTTCCCATCACTTGTAAAACGCTACGAATTAATTCCAACACCTAATACATTTCCATAAGATAATTCGAGGGAAGATACCGAAAGAAGGAAGACGCCAATTTGTTTATAATTTTTTTATAAAACATGTGGCTATACTAATTATAAAAGCGTATGATAAACAGTTGCACAGTTATCGGCAGAAATAAACATGTTCATGCCAAAGTCGATTCGTAAAGATTATATGAAATATGGAAAGATCGTGAAACATGCTCTTTGTAATATTTGATATATTAATAGCTAAGGTCTGTATTTCGATGCTTACTATAAAACCGGGCGAATGATATACGGTTTTAATCAGTGTTCCCTGGAGGTCATGTGGATGATATAATTTGTAATATTCCTAAAATAATTTGTAATATTCCTATGCGTAAAAGTTGCAATTGAATATTCCTTTTACACTTGGGAATAAGATGACAGTAAATACAAAACACAATTTTTCCTGCTTGAAGCCGTCATTAAAACGATTTTATGAATTAAAATTTTGGATGCTTTATATAATTCAAAATATTTTAAGTTAATAAAATGCTATTTAAACGAATAAAAGTATGTCCAACTTACTTCCTAAATTATTCTCTTTCATATTTCATCAATTTATGTTTTATCATGTCTTTTATGTGTTCTTATAACTTAAACCCTTAATTATAGGCTATAAATAAGTAAAATATGCAAGTTTATATTGCATCACATTATTTAATCGTTTGTGACATCTTCTCCCATAAGATGTGGCATCTTACCCGTATACATAAAGAAGATGCCACTTTTGCAGGGTAAGACGTATCAATTTTTTTTAATAATACGGAATATCAAAAGTTTAATTTATTGATTTATATGAATAAAGAAAGATTGCTAGAATATAAATAATATTTTTTTCGTTCGTTAACATTAAGAAGTTATTCAAGAATAAAAGCTTAAGTATGGCGTCCTCCCAATGTCCTTATATTTTTATTAGAGCACAGATTTAAAAAATACTACTATTTATTAAAATAATTTATGATCCAAATAATAAACCGTCACTAAATTTGTATTATTTTTAAACGTGATTTAGAATAATTTTTAATTTTTTCATAATTTTATTATCGTTTTGAAAATATGAATAAAACGTCCTTAAATTACATATGTATATTAAATTACATATTATAAATAGTTTTTCTCTAAAGGTATTTGTTATAACAAAAAATGTAATCGCTTTTTTTTATACTGGCATTAGAAGGATTTCCAAAATATACGACAAACATGCCATTCGCATATCGACGACCAGTAACAGTTGCAAATAATGTGTTACAAACGCAATGATTTGGCCGAATTCCGTGGATGGAATGAACCTCGATGTGCCGGTAAATCGCCTGCAATCGCGGATTTCTCGATCGGATCGCACAAAGAGTCGTCATTAATTAAATCACCTTCCATCGGGGCTCAGATAAAGCTCCCTCGATCAGGAATCTGTAATTAACATGCCGTCTACTTCGGCGGGAAACCGATTGCGAGATCTATACAGCGATCTTTCTCGCGTTTAATTCACGAATCCTTGAGGCAACGTACGCATCCGATTTATATACCAAGATTACATTCCAAAATGTCCTCTCCGAGGAAAGCTTTACTAGAAAAATATAATACACTCTCTAAATTCTTTGGAATGGAGCTTCATTTTAAAAAGTGAAAAGCTAATTTTGAAAAAGAGTTGCTCAATTTTCAATCTTTAAAAGTGAGATTTCATTCTTCTTAGTAAGATCCACTCTAAAAGTTTTAGAAAGTAACGTATACTATATTATATCAAGTAAAATTTTCCTCAGAGAGGATATTTTGGAATGTAGCCTTAACGGATATCGATATCATCTTGCCTAAAGTAATATCGCCTCGACAGATATAAGATGTAAGCCACATAGAAAACAATAATATAATCTTAGAAATATTATTTACTTTTTGATTATTAGATTTAATAAATTAATATAATTTAGATGTTCATTATATTAAATTTTCATCAATATAACACTTTATTTCGCGAATAATGTTGTTTCGATAATATTAAATTTAATAGTAAAATAATAATCCGATTATTTTAAAATATCAACATAATTCGAAAAAATAAACAATTTATTTGTCTAGCGGAACACTGAAGTAATTTACGCTCAAAAGAACATCGCAAATATGACGATGATATAAGAATGAAAACTTACGTCACCGAAGCGTGAATTGGCAGTGATATCATTGCTGATGCCATAGCTGATGCATCGCCTACGCTTGACGTCGTCTTTTCAGAACAGCGAAATGCTACTGAGATGCAATCATGCATTTTTTCCCAAGAAACTTCCTTCTATAAAGTATCTCTCACTGTGTGTTTGATTATACAATCGAGTCACGTGTACTTCTATTGATACTTTAACGATTGAGTCTGCAGCTTCCAAGTATATACTCATTCCGTGAATACAAAGGAAATTCGTAAGTTCTGATGAGAAATGTTAAAAAGCGCGAGATTGCTAGATCTGAGATAAAAATTCTGCAGAGTTATATCAATTTATCATTTATTATAGTTTGTAACTTTCGAACAGTATTTTGATAATTAATGCTGAAATTGAAATTCTGTTAAAGTTCGCATGAGGTTAAACGAAGAATGAAGTTTGATTTGTTATCTATTTCTACCCTTGCAACATTTGATTCGCGGAAAGACCACCGTTCATCTTCAATCGCCTGTAATCTGGAAACTCTTGATGCGCTGGCATTTTTCTGGAAAACGAAAACAGATAAGAGATAACTGGTACAGTAAAATAGAATAAGTACTTATTGCATTGATGGAAAGCAATCCTCTGAAAATATTTCATAAAAGTACGATAAGAAGGAAAAAGAAAATTGCTAACGATTCGTAAATAAACTTCTAATAAATAACATATCTCCTATATAAGTTATTAAGTTAGCCAATAATTCCGTGCGCTTTTTGTTGATAAAGGGTTTTAGGTACTCTCAGGTCTTTTTATATCACGAAATGCTCTCAGTCCAAATTTTGGAAGTGCATAATCATTGACATGCATTTCCAAAGTGATATTTCAAAATATATTTAAAAAACTGTGAAAATTGGTTGTATTTTGTACGCTTGGCGTCATTTAGATAAGTATAGGTAATGCAAATGATAATTTTAAACGTATTGTATACTTTTTTTATCTTAAAAGAGGCAAAAATGTAACACATCTGTAAAAAGGTATGTAGCAAGGATGCTGCATGAAAGAACACGTGTGACAAAAATGGTTTGTGAGATTTCATTCCAGAGATTTTTTTTATCCAAGACATACCACGCTCAGTACGTCTTGGACAGAAAGAAACAGAAAGTTGAATGAGGAATTATGAAGCTGTCAGAAAGACAATAATGGATCGCTACAATACATTCTTAACTACAGTTACATTCTATTTAAAGAAAACATCTTCCGTTATAAATAAAAAACCGGAATTATTGCCCAACTCATAACATCATAAGTAATTAAGTAGTTATTAATCTTCTTAATATATTTAATTTATCTCTCTCCTTTCCCTCCCCCCTCTCTTTTTCTCTCTTTCTCTCTCTCTCTCTCTCTCTCTCTCTCTCTCTCTCTCTCTCGTCTCTTTTTTCTCCATTTTAATATTTGATTCTATCGATTCAATCATGTCAAAAGCTTCGCTATCGATTTAACGAACAAGTATTGAAATCTTAATAAGATATCGCGACCTGTATTAAATAAAATTAAGACTTTTATTTATCACAATTAAAGACTTTTATCAGATCAGCTGACTCTGTCAAGACAAACGAAGATCAAGATTCGCGTGTACGCAAAGATGTGCTTACGTATCGGCTCGTAAAGAGACAGGCAAGAACTCGTGAATACGACGTCTAACTTTTGCAGTTATAAATCTGATTTGAAACGTACGTTCGCGAAACGAAGAATGGTATGGGATCATAATGGGTGGCTTAGGAGGGTACGGGAAATCCGGAATCCGATGTCGCATTCTTATGGGCGATTGGTGCCGTCGGTAAGGCGTCTTATTAGAAAGTTTAAATGGTAAATAAAACTTTAAATTAAGGCAACTTCCCAGCGTCGCCGCGCCGCGCCGGCGAGTTCCGTCGATGAAAGAAATCGCATAATGTGAGAGATCGATTTCTCTTGGAAGAACGTCAAAGATCGCCGTAACTGAAATCGCCGAATAGAGAATTGACCTGTGAATACTGATGTTCTGGATATCACGCTCGGAAAAATTTTTCCTTCTACGATTTCTATCTACAACTTCCTTTGTACAATTTTCTTCTACAACTGATTATCAGAGACATACTTTTACAAGCAAATTTTATTCTTTATTTGTTCAGAAGGAGAACGAAGAAGGTATAAAGAATTAGGATCTTATTTCTTCAGACGCTTGTAAAGAAAAAAGGAGGGAAACCATAGCATTGTTTTCCAGCATAAATTAAGGTATGTATAAACAAATTTAATTAAGAATCTTAAAAAGGGGTCGATTTCCGTTCCAAAAGATGTCAGTAAAAAGAAAAGTATTTTTCGTAAATTTTTCTATTCCTCCTGGATACAATAATAAAAAATTCATTTAGTATTAAGGATGTTTTATACATATTTTCAAAATGATAACAAAATTATGAAAAAATTGCAGATTATTCTGAATCACGTATAAAACTAATACGACAAATTTGGTGACTATCTGGATCATAAGTTATTTTAATAAATATTAATCTTTTTTTAATCTGTGCTCTAAAAAAAATATATGGGATTGTATTATAAAATAAATAATAAAAATCTCAATTTTTTAATATAAGTACATTATGCATTCAAGGTAATTTACATAGAGTTACATTGCGCGATGCATGAACTAGTTATCCAGTAAATAAACAAAATATTTATTTTTGTTCTATATCTTTGTAACTAATCAGTGAATCGCAATGAAACATTGCATGAATTATTCTGAATATTTAAAGTATCTATAAAAGAAAAATGTAAATCTTTTAATCATTTTTAAAATTTTAACAATAAAAATAATAACAAATAAAATAAATAAACTAAAATGTGTTATTAAACAAAAATATAGTCACAGTATATTCACACAACTTTCATATGCACATAGTTTATTTAAAGTCTAAATATTAAACATACTTCCAAATTTAATCATAATATATCCTTAAAAAATGATGTTTAAATCAAACTAATGAAATTCAAGTCGAAGAAAATTTTTTTTTTAACCGTATATAGTAAAGATACATTTTTTCGAATCAAAGAAACTTTTCTCTCTGGTACGAACGTAAGGGTCAAGGATACTAGTCACTACTCGTCCCTTATTATCGCGGTCAAGGTCGGAACAAGCAGTCCGAGAACGGCGCGCGAATTATCTCTCACGTCGGCCGCAACCGCAAGCTCGCGTCCACGTGCCACATGGAGGGTCCGCCACGCGTTCCTCGTCTGGAAATTACCGCCAATTATTCGATTCACCTCGCTCGGATAGGAAGTTACAGCGATTTCGGCTGACGACACGTCGAGCATCGAATTTTCCGCCTCGTTAGCGCGCCTAGTCTTATCATCGTCGTCGTCGTCGTCGTCGGCAAAGTAACGACCGATACGCGGAAAGCACAAGTCGCGTCGCGTAACGCGGAAAAAGCGCCTAACGCGAACTAGCTCGCCAGTGGAAATTAATGGGCCAAAGAAGCGACCGCTAATCCGTGCGATCAAGCAGGCAGACCGCAAATTTTTGCGGCCGGATAATCGCGCTCAGGCAAAAAGACGACGCGCGCGAGCGCGTTTGTTCTTGAGTAACGGGCAATGGTGCTCCTCTCTAGACAGGAAAAAGAAAACAGTAAATTTCCGGAAAAAAGTATTAGAGATTAAGACCAAGTTTGCGTAAAAACGTCTCTATTATATTTTTTAACTTAATTTTCTACACGACACAAATAAAATTATATCTAAGAATTCTAAATTAAAAATATTTTATAGTTTTAATCAGTGAAATAAAAATTTCGATATTATTTCTTTAAAAATCATGTTCAACTCTCTTTGCTAACCTTCTCTCCGATTAAGTTTCCGAAATGAAAAGTTCTTAAAAGTAATTTATGCTTTTTATCTAAAAAGTCTTTATCTCTTTCTTGTCCTTAGTTAAGAGACACGAAAAATTAATTATAAGTCTAAATACCAGACACACGGGGCCACAGATTTCTGCGGTAATTGCCCACGTGAAGTCACATAAAATCCATGTGCTGTTCGTAGAGTGAGTTAACAACATGTTGACTATGTATCCCTTATGTAGTCTACAGGGATAACCGAGAAATGTTGGGCAGCTTGACCAGGGCTTTTGGAATCAGTTATGCGAGCAAACAGGGTTGAATACGTTGCTTGTTTCAAGTAACATTACCTGTTGATTTATTATAGCCTCACATTAAGAAAATTGAAACTTTCAGTAGAAATACGCACTCTAATAGTAAAAAGATCTCCCTTATCTCAGCTAAAACTAATTAAGATAACCTTAATCATCTTTATAAACCGTACATTTTGCATTTATTAATTCATTAATAATTAAATGACTGATAATGAGTTCGAAACATTCTTTATATTGATATATAAAACTTTCTATTATTTAAAAAATATTCATGCAAATATTTTTAATTACATTCACTGATTTTTTTTAAAATTCAATTAAAAATATAATTTTGTTCTGTATTTTAGTATCATTCCGGATAAAAGCACATATTCGTACGAAAAAAAGACAGCTTGGACGAAATTGGCGATTGTTCTCGACAAATATCAAGTTGATTGAACAATTACGCATTTATGCAACAATAAGTTTTACCGATGCAGCTGCATTAATAATCACAATCATTGAATCGACTAAATATTTACCATGTTAAACGTGTAATTTGTTTGATTAACTGAATATTTACTTTCGGACAAAGTTTGTTTATTGGAACGTCAATTTTATCTCTGCCACGCGATCGTTCTTCTGAGAAAAGCGAAACTAACATTTGACACTTTCATATCAGATTTTCAAAATTAAACAAATATTCTGACAGCAGTTTATTAAAATCCGCAGAAAGTTTTATTTAACTTTATTATTATATTTTAGGAAAGTAGAGCACGGAGAAAAATGATTTTGCTATGAACACAAAGGGATTGCAAAATTTAATTGCCAAATATGTTTGCTGTCTATAAGCAAACAAGTTTGATAAATATTTTGTTGCAAATAATTTTTGTAGCGAATACAAAAAAGAATAAATATTTGTTACACCTGCAAATAATTGACGATCCCTATTTGCAAATAGAATTTGCCATTATGCCATAGGATTAGCGTTCATAGTAATTTTTTTCTCTCCGTGAGAAAACTTGATTTTTTTGCTTCTCTATCCTTTAATTGTAATTCCGAAAAAATAACTTCCGAGAAGAGAATCATGTAATTGCATGAAACTATATTTAATAACAATGATAATAAATTCATATTTTTTACATGAAGCTCAATGGAAGAAAGAATCATCTTCGAGATGTTTATGTCATCCTTCCTAATATTATATACATATTTAGTGGGCATTATCGATGCGTCTGAGATGCGATTTGAATTGCAAATCTGACTTTAACTCAACTACGTTTTCGCACACATTTATAATATCGCAATACCGCGAATTTCTTGTAGCTTAAAACGTAAATTTATATTTGCACGTTATTACCATACATTGGAACGTGCTCGATTAAAATGTACGAAGTATGCGATTACCAGTGATATTTTAATGTTGCTATAAAAGCCAACCGGTCTGTCCGCAAACTCGCGATAGGTTTTCGTCAAAGAAACGCATTGTCATTCGTGCGCGACCGCGTTTGATACGATCACATTCCCTGTAATAATAAAAGATATCTAATAATGTATAAGCAATCATGTCGTAATAAATTTCTACTACAACACTGTACAATTAATATTGTCACATTTTGAGCTTGCTTTTATTTTCTAAGACAGAGATCCGTAAAAGACTGTTAATGTCAGATTCAAGAATTATCATTTATCTCTGCTCTAGAGCCTTGAAATCTAAGTCCACTCGAGTTACATATTAGATTCAAATTGTGTTATCAACGAGCGATACGTAAAAATGCTAAATCTGTCGTTCGCAACGATGGCAACGCACAATGGAAACTGACTCGCTGGAGATAAAACGACTGAAAGTGAGCAACTATTGCTTGTGAATTCAGACTTGGATTTTCACTGTTGTAGATCCCATCTATTTTTATCTTAAGATACGAAACACGATAAAATAAATCTTCAGTTATACATAGAGATACTGGTATAATGAAAAAATAAATCACGATAAAATAAATCTCGGATTATACATAAAAATACCAGCAGTATAATGGAAATTGAATTATTGCTTATTTAATATTATTTACATTTCATTTATTTCGTTTGTTTATTTCATTTTGTACGATTTGATTCAAAATTTCCACCTATTGATTAATTTAATTCTACCTTAGCGAAAATTCTCTGCTTTTCTTTCCAACATAAGTCTCAAAGAAACATCTGTGACTCAACTGATTTATGCCCATTTCCACTAATCAATGTAGGTAACTTTAATCTTGGTTCAACTTATTTTCATCCTTTTCTAATTCTAGGAGTTAGACAAAGATAAAGGCTAAGCTGAGCCAAGATTAAAGTTAATCTACATTGATAGAAACGAACTTTAGAAATGCGGCCCTGCATAAAGAGAATCTCGAAATGTATCAGATAGCAGACTATCGAATCTCGACGATGCTCCTCTGTCGAGCGATAAATCGAGACTTGGCACGACACGGTGAAAAAGGCCAAGACTGTCACGAGTAAGAAAAGTTACACACAGCCTAATCCTGAACGAAGAAACTATCAAGGATTACTAAAGATTACAGGACGACAGCGATATTGAGAAAAGAAGGAACTGTGCACAAAGTACACGCGTCTTCCAAAGCCAATTGACAGATGTAAATTGAAGCAACACGTCGTGCATACGGTATGTGTCCGTTCTCCGTTGTTTTCTCCTGCAATCTCCTGGTTACCGTGCAATTTTTATCCGTTCATGTTATCAAAAAGAACGAGTTAATCGTGTAATCGCCTGATAATAGATAAGAGTCAATTAAGTTATGATTATGATATACTTCTTGCCTACTGGTTTTCTAAGTAATTCTAATCGTTACGTAGTAATTGCAGTTAAATGACGCGATTATTGATCAAATTAAAAGATTTTTTATTATATTTCTTAGCATTTGTGGCTAAGACTGCACGATTTCATAACAGAAATTAATTAATTCTTCCTTTTACAAGAATAATTTTTAATTAGAATTTATTAATTATTTATATGGCATATACGAGCAAAAGAATTTGAATTTGTTTGTAATCTATGCATTAAAAAAACTATAATTACACTACAAATTAAAATTACATATAATTAAATTACAAATTAAAAAACTCATAATTAAACTACTAAATTAAAAAGAAAACTTACTTTTCAGAAGATTTTCTTCTGAAAAATTAATTCGTAACGATAGCCATTTAAATATGAATATGAAATTTTTTAAGATCGACATTGCCAAAAATATTTATTTACACAAAAAATATTCGCGAAGAGAAATCGCCGGACATATCGCGGAAGCAACACGTCATATCAATCGGATTCTTCATTGTGTTTGCGGAAACTCGCTTGAATATTAACCAATCGGACGAGGGTCAATCCTGTGTTTCCATTTCCTGCGTTGAATCCTGATCAGCTACTATATAGTCACTCAGGAATAAATTAATCCTTTCATAATTAACGGAATGCATACGTTTTTTTAGTAATTGAGTGATAAATCTGTTTTTATACTGAACTTTTATCCTGAATTAACCACCATATAAGTGAAGGAATAATTTTACTATGATACAATTTTTTTATTTGAAACCAAAATTTTCTCGCGGACGCTTAATTTTGATAGACATTTTAATAGACTATCATTGCGGCAGATTTTATTGAAGTGAGATATATTTCGTTTCTTGTATGCTTTTCGTCAAGAAAAAACTTTTCTTATCTCACTGATCTTTTCGTTTGCACCATACGTCTGACTTCTGTTTTCTTTCTTATCTTATCGGATTATAAACGGGAGTATTGTTACTCGCAGGAAAACGCTACACGCATTCGTAGGAATGTGTTCAGGTATTTTACTCCTTTTCGTAATAAAATTATCAGTTTTTTAGGAAAAAATTCAAAATAATCTTTACGCGATTTTTAAATCTTAGTTTCAATCCTTCACTCTAAATTTCTTGAAGTGAAATCTCACTCCAAAAGAATCAAAATACAACCATCCTTAAAAAAAAGTGAAAATATTTCACTTCTTGAAAAAGAGAGACAATTTTCACTCTTTTTAAATGATATCTCACTTTTTAGGAGTGAAATTTCACTTCTTCAAAGTAAAAATTCACTTGAAAAAGAGAAAATTGTCACTCTTTTTCAAGAAGTGAAATATTTCACTTTTTTTAATGGTTGTGTTTTCACTTTTTTAGAGTGAGATTTTACTGCAAAAAATTTAGAATGTTAATACATAATTTTTCGATTATCCGTATCTCGGGTTAATTTTCATTACTTTAATAAATATACAAAATTTATTAAGTCATTGTTACATGCATGTTAACATCTTTAGAAAGTATTTGTAAATTCAGACATTTTTAAAAAACCGTATATAAAGGTTATAACTAATTATTTGTTGCTCCTAATTTTTCGAAGAAAAGAAATGTGAAAAACACGAATGATCCAACCATATGTATTAAGGGTTAATATTATATAATATATTCATTTTTCTGTATGCTTAAATACAAAGTCTTGTAAGTTTTTGCCAATCGTTTTTGTGTAGATAGAGCGAATTAAACTGAGTCACAAAATTCTCTACCATTTTACAATTTTCGCAATAGTTAACAAGAAATTAATTACTAAAAATTAGCCGGATATTGGTCTTGAATAATTTTTTATTTAGATACTATCAATTTTATAGAAAAACAGCAAGAAAAAATTGTTTATTTTCTTCTCATAGAGTTCTGAGAATTTTTTCAGAATTTTTTAGTACCGCATTTTCTCATGTTGATAAAACTAGTTGCCAATAAGAAAATGCAGTACTAGGTTGAGAAAAAAATTCTAAAAAAATTCTTACAGCTTTATAAGAAGAAAACAATTTTTGTCTCTTGCCGTTTTTCTATAAAATTAATAGTACTTGAGTAAAAAATTATTAAATATCAATATTTAGTAGGCGATATTTAGTAATTAATATCTCATTAATTATTACGGAAATTACAAAATGGTAGAGGACTTTTCAACTCAGTTTAATCCGCTCTATCTATACAAAAGCGGTTGGCAAAAACTTACGAGACACCCTGTATAATTATTCGTCGTAATTTTATAGCAACATATTGATAATAAATTACGAAAAGATTATATACAGATGTTGCTAATAATCATACTTTCTTATGAGTATATTGTTATTATATTATTATTATTATTATTATTATTGTTGTTGTTGTTATTATTATTATTCACCTTTTGTAGATCTTTAAACTCTTTTGTTTCGCACATATCAAAATCCTTAGAACGCAAAAGATAAAAGTAAGCATAATAATCTCAAGAAAAGCTTTTTGAAGAAAATTAATGAAATAATAATAAAATAAGTTTTCTACATAAAAAACATTTAAAAAACCTCCAAAACTTCGAAAGAGCTCTTCTTTGGAAGGAGCTCTTCCTTCTAAAGATATAAAATAATGCGAAAAGTTAAACTTTCTTAATAAAAAAAAGACGTGAATAAAATTTTGGAATACCTGTAAGGTGCAATATGTGACGGTCACATGAACGCGTACATGAACTCCCCAAGTTTCCGGGAGATAAAAACCATTACGTGAAGTAACTCATGTTTCGTGAGACCCGCCGACAGGTAATCCTGGAAATAAGAATTATTCAACGTTTGGACGGAAGTCTTACCGCACTCAACCACAAATGAGTTCAAAGAGCTTGCTAAATAACTAAGTTCTTTATTATTCTTTGGAGAAGATAACAAAGATGTGAAAGATATATAAAGTAACAGAATCTCCAAGTGCGTGCCATTTTTTTTTGTTACGTCTTCTTTCTTTTCTTCATATTTGATGTTTCCCTCGTCCTTCTCGGTAATACGTATATACGATCCCCAGGTTTTCTCCCCAGGTTGCTTCCTAGCAGAAAGTATTAATGCATGGGTCTACGTAGCTTAGCAGTAAAAGTCATCCGGAAAGCGAAAGATCTCGGAATTAATTCCCTGTCCACAACAATACAACACAAAGTTTGGTAATAGGGATTATTCTTCCCTTGCCGAAATATAAAAGAAGAACATTAATCCTACCTAAAGAAGAATTTTAATTAAACGATGTAAAATTGATCTTTCTAATTAAATTTGGCTTTTCGTTCGATTAACAGTTTGTGAATATCCGCAAAAGATATCTATTCCATCTCTTGAGAGAAAGATCTTTATTAAAACCTAATTTTTAGAATCTAGATGTAACATGATATATTTCTTTATCTTGAAAAATTGACATACAATTTCTTTTTAATAGAAATATTTTATAGAAATATTTTATAGAATGCAAAAAAATAATTCTTGAATTTCAGTTTAAAAAAACGGAAAGGACAATTTTACTGATGTATCAAAAAATTTAATTTATAGATATAAATCTGAAAATAATATTATTATTGAACCATCAAAATAATTATATAAGAATTTCAAGCATGATCAATGTTACAAAAAGTTTTGGCATTCTAATAGTAACAGTTTTTGAGCGTCTTAATTATTTTAATAATTCAAACAAAATTATTTTCAGATCTGCATTTAACTAAATACTTCAGCATGTCAATAGAGAAAAAGAGAGAGAGAGAGAAGACATCTCAAATGTTACATTATACCAGATAATTAATCAATTAATTATCCAACTTTTTGATCACGTAGATATTAGTTAACAAGAATAATTATCTTTCGTTAAATTCATATTAAAAAAGAAATCCTAATAATATATATGATATCTCAGTAGATATTTTTCAGCCATAATAATGTGAATATTAATAATCTATTCGTCGAATTGACATGGCAAAACCGTCCATCCTTTCTATGAACAATTACAAATTATAAAAATACTAAATCTCATTCTTTAATTGATTTCAAATGAGCTTAACAAAATTTTAAATCGAATATAGTTTACCGATATTAACTTTCGATAATCTGTTGAAAAATTTCGCTTTCAAAGAAGCCAGTTTTCAATAGAAAATTCGCAATGCGCTCGTGTTTACTGTCGAACACCTCGTTCACGTAATTGAAATTCGCAAAAAATGTAGCTCTATAGCTATTGCAATGACGATATGCACGTTTCTCCGATAAGAGTATACGCGCCGTTCGCGTCTCCTTCGCGAAAGACTGCGACCAGACACGTTTCGCTAGTTGATTTTTATCGATTCCCCGCACTTCGCAAACTGGATCGACCGTGTTAATCGACCGTCCTAGACGTGATGTAACGTAGTACACTTTCTCCGCAATCCGGTGCAGTGGTTTCGGTGACGCCCATCTGACATAGTTTACACGTCCAACAATCATGCTACATTTATTTACAGCCGATAATTGTCCCAATGATGTAAAACTAAAAATTATCCGCAGAGAGAAAAAATATAAATACAATAGTTTAAACATATTAAAAATCAAAGTTTCCAATATAAGAAAAAGCATATAATTATATAAAATATAATAAAAACATATTGTATATATATGAAATGTATTTATTACATTTATATAACGTTATATTATGTACATCAGATTATGTATTTATAATATTTCACATTAATATAATTTTACATATATTATATTTACTTATATGTGTGCAATATATCAACAAAGGTTTAATAATAGAGCATTTTGCTGAACAAATAATTTAATTCTTTTTAATTATTAATTTTACATATCTTATACTTTTAAATATACAAATACAAAATTATCATATTTTATTTGATGATCTTAACTAAATTTTAATATGATATTCCGAGATTTTTATCGAGAGAGAGAGAGAGAGAGAGAGAGAGAGATGTCTCAAATGTTACATTATATCGGATAATTAAATCAATTATCCGATTTTTTAGTATTTTTTACCATTTATTATCAGTAAATATGTTGAAAGTCCATTAATAAAAAGAGAGTCCATTAATAAAAAAACGCAGATAGATGGTAGTCCATTTTGTGGTACAATATATTGGTTTTTTTATTATATAATTTATTTTAAGCAAATTTGCAAAAGTAACGAACATTTAACTTTCACGATGTCAGATAACGAAAATAATAATCAATACATTGTATCACAAAATGGACTACCATCTATCTGCGTTTTTTTCTCTCTGTTTATTAATGGACTCTCAACACATTTACTGATATTACTGACAAGAATTTTTTTATGACTACTTTGATTTTTGATAAAAATGATTCGTAGCGTACTATACGAAATGATGAATACGGGATTAAAAATTATAATAGTAATTGTAATACCATGTACATATTTTTGGTTTAGAACGATGTTGAAATATTACGACTACATTGAAAATGACTCGATTGGAGTCGAAACGTTTGTTGTCAATTGTAATTGTTTATATGAATTTTTAATGCTAATTTAAATTAAAGTTCTTTGCTACACCAGCTTACTGGCTCTTTGCCCTTCTTTTGTACCACATTGTTTTATACGTATAGACCTTATTATTATTTATTAAGAATTATCTCTCGTTAAATTCATATTAAAAAAGAAATCCTAATAAGCATATGATATCTCAGTAGATATTTTTCAACCATAATAATATGAATATTAATAATCTATTCGTTGAATTGACATTTCGTTTATTTAGCAATAGTATGTGAAAATGTAAATAATTAAAAAGTTTCATTATCTACTAAAAATTCTTATCGTGATTATTAAATTGATATTTAATTTAATACTTCTATTTCTAGTTAAATTAAAGAGTTCATGGATTACAAATCTATGATTATAAAAAGATTAAATCGATTGAATTATAATTTATTTGTATTTCTGAAATTTAATTTTCGGAAAGCCCTTCGTCTTTAATTGTAACTTAAAATCTATATAGCCGTCAAGAAAAAATTTATTCCAAATTGACCGAAGAATCCGTAGACGCAAGACACTTTATATTTTGCATTACAACGAAAATAGTTCCTGCGACGAATACACAAATAAAAATAGCACCGATATTACGAGTCAAAAGATATGCTTCGCTGCAAAATGGAACATTACGCGCGCATGCATTCTTCTTATTGCACGGCCGTGATATATTTATAGAGTGAGATAAATAATACTTTGCGTTGCAGAAAGGAAACTACTCGGTCGATGATTGTCACGTGGCTTTCTTATATCACAATTACCAAGATAAAGAATAAGATAAGAATTAATTCGCGCCTACAAGTTTGCGATCTGACCTAGCATTATCGTCGCACAAACAAAACAGATTTTCGAATGTGTGTTACTTGTAACGATTATGTTTGCAAACTTATAAAGAGAATACAAACACAATACTTTAAAAAAGTTCAACTGTCATTTTAGAACACGATGAAAGTTTGTATATCGATTTTCGAATGTGTGGAAATTATAAAATTCAAATTATTTTCGAATTCAACGCACGATTCAATTATAATTTATTTTATAGCAATTACTGAGATTCGAGAGATCCAAAGAGATATTTAAATATTGAAAAAAATCTGGTAATAACTACCAAATATTGAATGAAATAATTTTAATCAAATATTGAATTAATATGAAAATAATTAATAAAAAATAATTTTATTTTTTTAAATATTTAGTAAATATTACCAACCATAATAATATAGTTTAGTAATATTTAATCGTTTAGTAATATTAAAAAAAATAAAATTATGTTATATATATATAATATTATTAATAGTATTGTATTATTTAAATGCGTGTCTTTATTAATGATATTGATTTTGCGAGTAAATATTTTAATGGAATTGCATATTAATTGACATCACATCGCGTGTATACACTACGTAATCATATTACTGTGAATTAACATCGAACAAGTGATTAATTAATTTATTCTGCCGATTAATGTATTAGTATTAGCTTCGATTTGCATATTTTCTTAAGGTTTGCATTAATATCTCACTTATAGGATTACACTTTTTCACACACACACACACACACACACACACACACACACACACATTTTAATTATTTTAAAATTAATCTTTTCCTAATGAGAATTTCTTTAGCTCTAGAGATAGCTGAAATCTATCTTTTCTCACAGCTTTCCAACTCTGATTTAAATACCCTTCTAGACATAACTAGTTTTATAGTCAAATTTCATTAAAATGAATTTAGTCGAAATTGTATAGAGAATAAAGGTGTATCTTTATTTTAAAGAGTAAATATAATTCTTTACTTAACTTTGTCTGTTTGAGGCTTTTTAATTCAGAATGTAAATTATCTTTTTATAATTTAATATTTTGTTTAAAAATTTTCTATAGTATTTCACGACTTCGCTTGTTAATATAAGATCTTCTGTAAAAATTTTTTAATTTTTATTTTTTGGAGCTTTAATCATATTAACCATTTAAATAGACTGACAAGATTAAATTACAGCTACCTCAATATATTTTCTTAGAAAAAAATTTAGTTTTAAATTTTTAAAGACACGTATTGCTATTTTAAACACGTATTGCTATTTCCATTTATTCCCGATCCATTTATTTTTCTATTTATTTTCGATATTAATATCTATGTAAAGTTTCCAAATTCTGCTTTAAAATAACTTTCATTTTTAATAAAAAAAAAATATTCACATATGAAGTCTTAAACATAATGAAAAGCACAGACAATAGGAACAGAAAATAATAGATTTCAACCCATCAGA